TCTCCCTCACCAGCATTTTTTTGTTCTCCTCTTCACATATATATTTTCTTTCCCTTTCAAATTCCATTGTGTTGTATCGATCTTTTGATTTTTTTTAAGTACTACTGTAAATTTTCAAAAAAACACTCAGAATGCGTGCAGTAATGGGATATCCTAGCTGCATTCTATGCACTTTTGTGAAAAAATTTATGTCGCATTTATTGATTCTCTTTTGACACATTTACTTTCCCTGTCAAATTCCATTGCAAGCTATTGATCTAATTTTCATTCTTGGTTTCTTTTGAACAATTTATTTAATTTTTTTAATTTTTTTTCCTTCATGACAGTGTTAGGGTTTCAAATGAGCTAGGATCAAAACATACCAGGGCAGCAAAATACTCAGTCTTTGTAACAGTGACAAAGTCTCTTCTAATAGGGATATTGTTCGTGTCAAATATAATGACTACTAGAAACCATTTTGTTGTCATTTTCACAAACAACAAAGACATGCAAAAAGTTATTGCTCATTTGGTTTACCTTCTTGCCATTACCATGGTCCTCAACAGTGTTCAACCTGATATTTCTGGTACTAACCCATTCGAAAACTCAACTCTTGTTCTAATGTTTATAAATTTCCCTTTATGTTTATGAATTTGAAAAGACAAAAAAAATTAGAAATAAAAATTTCTTAATGAGTTTTCTTCAACCAGAGGAGAGAATGATATAGCTCAGTGAATCAATGCAGAAACCAAGCAACAAAACACAACAATTTCAAACAAATCTAAGGGTTTCGATTTCCTCCAAACCAATGTTCGATCAAATATGAAATTGCTATCTCATTTTTCTCTCTAGAAGTACGAATTAGTTACTTGGAGAACGAGAGAGGAGAGATCTGGATTTGTGTAATTTAAACTACAAATTAGTTAAGAAAATAATCAGAAATTAGACAACGATTTATGGATAAAACAATCAGAAAAATCAAAAATTATATACGATTGATTTATACTTGTAGAGAAAGAGAGTGTAGAGAGAGAGACAATGAATCAAACTCACAAAGAAATCGGATTCTAACGACCTTGCTTGTACATGTACAAGAAGCAGATATAACTGACGAACCAGATTAATGATGAATATAAGTCTCACGTTGCTCGCTGAACGCCGTCGTCTTCTGCTGCTTGTTGCCGTCCCACGTTGTCACTATCATCACTCAACGTCGTCGTCTTCCGCTGCTCACCGTCGCTGAATGCTGTCGTCTGCCCTACTCACAGTCGTGAGAGAGAGAGAGATGGGGATTTTTGGTTCAAAAGATTAGGGTTTTGAGATTTGGGGATTTTTGGTTAAGGTGGAAAAAACGAGCGCGAATTAGATTTTGGGTTTTTTTTTTTTCACAGTCAATTATAACCGTCACAAATGAAAATAAACAATGAATCCATGGCTCGTTTAGTAATTTTTTTATTTGCGACGGGGGTATTGCCGTTGCTGATAACCTGTATTTGCAACAGGGAAAGGTTGCCGTAGCAAAAAAAAACTCATTTTTTTGCCAAAAACTTTCGTGCCCATTTTGCTGCGCAATGGAAGCTAGGAAGAGAGAGAAACAAAAAATGAGAGAGCAAGAGAAGATCAACGAGAGAAAAAGATAGAGAGAAAGAGATGAACGAGAGATATAGAGAAAGACATAAAAAAAAGAGAAGAGAGATGAGCAAGAGAGATAGAGAGAGACAAAGAAAAGAGATGAGTGAGAGAGATAGAGAAGGAAGATGAGTGAGAGAGATAGAGAAGGAAGATGAGTGAAAGAGGGAGAGAAGAAAGATGAGCGAAGGACACACACACACACATAGAGAGAGAGAGAGAGAGACCCATTTTATTTTTTTGACTTTTTCCCCTTTCAACAAAAATGGGCTTAAAGAAAGAGATGAGTGTAATTGAGAGAAATGAACGATTGAGAGAGAAGAGGGATGAGTGAGAGAAAGAGAGACACACACAGAGAGAGAGAGAGAAAGACAGAGAGAAAAAAGAGAGAGAGAGAAACAAGATGAACGAGAGATAGATAGATAGAGAGAGAGAGAGAGAGAGAGAGAAAGACAACAAATAGAGATGAACAAGAGATATAGAAAGAGAGGGAGAGAGAAAAAAGATGAGCAAAAGAGATAAAGAATGAAGAGAGATAAGAGAGCCAAAGAGAACAGTGATGAGTGAGAGACAGAGAGACAGAGAGGGAGAGAGAAAAAAGAGAAATAAACAAGATGAACGAGAGAGAGAAGAAGAAGAAGAAGAAGAAGAAAGATGAGCAAGAGAGATAGAGAGCAGAGAAAGATAAGAGAGCCAGAGAGAAGAGTGATGAGTGAGTGAGTGAGAGAGATGAGAGATAAAGAGAGGGAGAGAAGAGAGATGAGTGAGGGAGAGAGGCCCATTTCATTTTTTGACTTTTTTCTCTTTCGACAAGTGATTAAGAGAAATGAGAGATGAGCGATTGAAAAGAAAGAGAGAGAGAGAGAGAGAGAGAGAGAGAGAGAGAGAAGAGATCGATAAATCGAGAGGGAGATCGCTAAATTGAGAAGAGGGAGAGAAAGAGTGAGCAACGCGAGCACAGTGTGGAACAGAGAGAGAGAGAAAGACACAGATAGAAAGACAAAGAGTGATGAGTAAGAGAGAGAAACAGAAAGAGAAAAGAGATGAGCGAAAGAGAAAGAGAGATAGAGAGAGAGACAGGAAGACGAAAAAATGGGTGAAACACTACAAAAATTTCAGTTTTTTGCTGCCGTCGCTAATACTTCTAATTCGTACGTCTTATCAAAACAATCTCGTTTTTTCTTTTTTTTTTTGCGACGACACCTATTACCGACGCAAAAAACTCTCTTATTTGCGATTGCAGTTCATGCCATCGCAAAAAACAGCTTTATTTGTGACAAATAGGTTACCGTAAAATGCGCATTATTTGCGACAGCAATTGTTACCGTCGCAAAAAGGTATTTTTTTGTGACAAGAAGGGGTGTTGTCGCTAAAAACCCATTTATTGGCGATGACAAGTGGTGCTGTCACAAAAAATCAATTTTTGTGACGGTAAGGGATGCCATCACAAATGCTTCCCTGTTATAAATCCCCTTTTCTTGTAGTGTTGGTGATCACCTTTGATCAAGTATTTGAGTGACCCAAAAACAAAAGTGGATAGGAGGATAAAAACAAAAGTGGATAGGAGGATAAAGTATCAAGCTATGAATTATGTAATTATGAGGGATGACTTGTTCAGAAGAACCCAAGATGGGTTGGCATTGTTATGTATTGGAGGATTAGAACAGATGTAGGGTTAGGCAGGAGAGAAGATGAGATGGCTGATCAAAAGGCATAGGTATTTTTAGCCCTCCATAAGGAAAGATTGCATTGATTATGCCAAGGGGTGTCAGTAGTGCCAAAGGCATGGTATTGTGCAAAAAGTGCCAGCTAGGGATTTGCATTCAATTGTCAAACCTTGGCCATTTAAGGGTTGAGCAATGGATTTAATTGGTTAGATATTTCTACCATCCTCAAAACAATATTCATATTAGTGGTCACATATTATATTTTACTAAGTGGGTAGAAGTAGTCCCATAAAAAGTGGTGAATCAATCTCATGTGATGGATTTTATCAAGAAACACAGAGTACATAGGTTTGGCATGCCACAAACAATTACTATCGACCAAGGGACAGTGTTTAATGGTGATGAAGTGATGGGGTTTGCCAAAGTATGACATTCAAATGTTGAACTCATCTCCATATTATGCCCAAGCAAATGGGTAAGCAGAGTCATCAAACAAAACAATCAAAGTGATATGAGTAAAGTGATATGAGACAATCTAAGGGATTGGCATGAGTTATTATCTGAGGTTTTGTGGGCCTACAAGAATTCAAAGAGGGATAGCATTCAAGCATCTCCTTATGAGTTAGTTTATGGTCATGCTGCAATTCTACCCTTAAAGGTAACAATAAAGTCTAGCAGGGTGGCTACGCATTGTGATATTCCTATCGATGAGTATGTAGAGGCCATGTTTATGGAGTTACAAGATGTAGAGTGCAAAAGGATTGATGCCTTTGATTATATGATGGCTCAGAAAAACAAGGTTGAGAGAGTTTATAACAAGAAGGTCAAATTAAAACTTTTTAGGTTAGTGTGGAAAACTATCTTGCCATTGGGAACAAAAGACCCTGACTTTGACATGTAGTCACCAAATTGGGAAGGCCCCTTTAGGATCCATAAGGGAGGGGCATATCGATTGAAATCTTTGGAGGGGCAGCCAGAGGCCTCTTTTGGCAAAGAGGTAGTAGCTTTTTGGCTTTTAACATCTTTTGGCTCACATCACCTCTCTATTTTTTTTTTATACATTTTTTCAAAAAAAGTTAAAAAATCTAAAAAGTTAGTTTTTAACCTACTTCCTAAAACAACCCATAGTTACCAAAATACTCCTAATAATAATAGGGTGAATCCCACATTAATGTTCACATTGACAATATAAATATTCTATGATGTGAACATTCACATCACTAAATTGCTAAGGGTTCAAAAAAATATTTGCAATGGTAAAATTATTCATAAAATATCTTAAATATGATAATTTGGATTTGGTAAATTAAATGACTAAATAATAAGACTTATTGATAGAAAAATATATTATGAATTAATTAGAATACAAGTAATTGAAGGAGAATTTTTCAATAATTTTTTTTTTTTTTTATAATTAGAACTAAAAATGATTTAGTTACAATAGTTTTGTATGAGCGTCACAAATGATCATAATGTGTATATGAAATACACCCAAGAAAAAGTGTACTATAATGACGCCTCTAAGTTGGAATTATGTAAAATATAGTAAATTTGGTAAATAAAAATAAAAATCCCCACTTTCTCAGCTTCTTCGTCTAACTTTGTCCATCCTACCACTTTTCCCGCACCTTTTTGACCCTTTCATTTATTTTATTTTATTTTTTTGGATTAACCTAACTTCCTAGCAGCTTCCTGAAAGCCCAAAATGTCAACAAACAATTATGGTAGCATTCACTCCTTAAAATGTCCATTCACTCGCTTTGAAGCTTCCATGATAAATCATAAATTATGATAGCATCTCGTCACCTAATTTTGTCTTATTTCCTCACCTTGACCGATAGCATTCATCCCATTCCGTAGTTCTTCTGTCCTTAATTCATTGTGGAGCTTTAATCCAATGGAAATTGTTGGAGCTCAAGATGCCTCCTCTTCAGATTCTCCCTGTAGTTATCATGTGTTCTTGAGTTTCAGCGGTGAAGACACTGGCAAGAGGTTCACTGACCACCTCTACACAGCCTTAAAGTATGCAGGATTCCGCACCTTTAGAGATGATGACGAGATTGAAAGAGGAGAAAATATTAAGTTTGAGTTGCATAAAGCAATTCAAGAGTCAAGGATTTCAATAGTTGTCTTCTCAAAAAACTATGCTTCTTCGAGCTGGTGCCTTGATGAACTTCTGATGATCCTCAAACGTAGGAAGACCACTAGCCATGTAGTGCTACCTGTCTTCTATCACGTGAATCCATCCCATGTGAGGAAGCAAATGGGAAGTTTCAAAAAAGCATTCATGAGGCATAAAAAGAGATTCCATACAGAAGCAGGTGAAATAAAAGATGACTGGAAGGGCAAGATGCAAGAATGGAGGGCAGCACTCAGAGAAGCTGCAGATTTAGCAGGGATGAATTTACAAAATCAAGCTGACGGGCAATTCCCTCCCATATCCTCTTTTAGCTAAGCATTACTTGCATCATCCTTTCTGCGATTTCATAGTTAAAAGTATTTCATATGAGGGCCTTTCAAATTAAGAATTATTTGATCAAAATTTGTGATGAACATTTTTTTTTTTTTTTCCCAAGAGTTTGGTATTTTTTTAATTTTTAGAATATAACCTTTAAATACAGGTTTTAAATTATCCTTGAGCGAACATCCCAGCATCCAACAAGTTGGTTTCTTTCCAAGTCGATACAGGTTCACAAGAAGTTCTTCACAACACCCCCCAAAAAAACTTGAATTTCATTTTTTTAGATGCTTCTCCCTTTTAAGCTATTTGAAAAGATCACATGAAGTTATTCATTTCCAACCATAAAAATTTGGATTAATTACACCAAGATAGACCTTCTCAACTAGTAGCCATATTACTTTACCTTTATCTGTAATCTATGAACCTATACATATTGACCCCTTTAATTATAAAAATTATACAAATTCACTCATTCTAGAGGTGGTCTAGAAGGGGTGAAAGTGATACACCTTGAAGGGGTCAAAATATGGATTCATAATTGAGGGGATAAGTGATATTTACTAATAATTGAAGGGGTCTTCGTATAATTAACCCTAAAAAATTTATTGAAAAAAATTAGACTAGTCTTCAAATTTTTTTAATAACTTAGCTTACTATTTAAAAATATAATAATTTTAAAAATATGGCAAAACAGAAAAGCAATTTATATTAGAAAGAAGAGTATTGACCCAAAACCATGATTGTGTAAACCCTTTTCTTTTAATCTAGGACTCGTCTAATTGTTTCCACAAAGACAATAACATGCACAGTCATTTTGTTCATTATTGCAGAATGTATAATTAATTTCAAGTCATGGCATTCTTATTGGGCTTTATCTTTTCCTTAGGTTCGAGTCAAAATTTATCCACAAGATTGTAGAAGTGGTTGCAGACAAACTAAAACGCACAATCTTGGGCAATTCTCCCTACTTGATTGGAATACATTCTCGAGCCAAAAATATTGGTCTTTGGTTACAAGATGGGTCTAGTGATGTTGGTATAGTTGCAATTTGTGGGATAGGTGGAATAGGGAAGACAACAATTGCCAAAGTTTTATATAATTTGAACTTCTCAAGATTTGAAGGTAGCAGTTTTCTTGCAAATGTAAGAGAAATTCTAAAACAACCGAATGGTTTACTTCAATTACAAAGACAACTTCTTGCAGACATTTTAAAGGGAAGAAAGAAAAAGTTATACAGTGTTGATGAAGGAATTGTTAAAATTAAAGATGCATTACGATGCAAAAGAATTCTTATAATTCTTGATGATGTGGATACAATAGACCAACTGGATGCAATACTTGGAATGCGAGATTGGCTTTTTCAAGGTAGTAAAATCATCATAACCACTAGACGTGAGCGGTTGCTAAGGGCTCATGAAATTTGCCACATTCATAAAGTTGAAATTTTGGATAATGATAAGTCCTTAGAGCTCTTTAGTTGGCATGCCTTTGGGCAAAACCGTCCCATTGATGGTTTCATAAAGGAATCAAAAAGGGTGGTACAATACTGTGGAGGGCTTCCACTAGCTATAAAAATTTTGGGTTCTTCTTTGTCAGGGAAAAGCTTAAATGTCTGGAAAAGTCAATTGGAGAAGTTGAAAGCAATTCCTGATTATCAAGTCATTGAAAAACTCAAAATAAGCTATGACTCTTTACAAGATGACCACGACAAAAATTTATTCCTCCATGTCGCTTGTTTCTTTGTTGGGATGGATGCAGATTGGGTAGTTACAATTCTAGATGGATGTGATTTTTACACAACGGTTGGGATTCAAAATCTCATTGATAGAAGTCTGTTAACGATTGACGAACACAAAAAGTTGGTGATGCATCAATTGATTCAAGAAATGGGAAAAGAAATTGTTCGTCAAGAATCACCTAAGGTGCCAGGAGAACGTAGTAGACTCTGGAATCATAAGGATTCCTTCAATGTCTTGAAAGAAAATACTGTAAGAATTTACCCTAATCCTTATTTATATTTGTATGTATTTGTGTAGTTATTTACTATAAAAAAATTATCCAAACTTAGAAACTTCATCGCAAAAAAATAAAAATAAAAAATTAAAAAAATCATTCATAAGTTACAGTGGTGGTGTTTTTATTTGAAATGAAAGTTACATTATTCTGTATAAGAATTTTGTACTAAAAAAAATAAAAAAATTGTTTATATAGTATTACTCTTCTTGATCAATGCCATCTCCCTCTCATTCTTTGTCAGGGGACAGGAAAAATTGAAGGTCTCATACTTGATATGAATTTTTTGGAGGATAAATATGACAAGACAGCCTTTGGTGTCAATAGAAAACGTCATTTTGAAGAATTCCTTGGCACATCTTTGTTGTCAAATGTAGGAAATTCATTTAAAAGACATTGTTTTGGCATCTTCTCTCGGCAGACAGTGGGCACTGCTCTACGAAATTCAGATATGATAGCTTTGGAAGTTGATGCATTTGAAAGGATGCACAAACTAAAACTTTTGCAACTCAACTATTTACAAGTCAATGGAAGCTTTGAAAATTTTCCTAAAGGATTACGATGGTTGTGTTGGCATGGATTCTCTTTCAACTCTATCTGCTATGATTTCCCTTTGGATAACCTAGTTGTTCTTGACATGCAATATAGCAACTTGAAAAAAGTTTGGGAAGGAACCAAGGTATGTTTCTCAATTGTTTGTTTTCATTTCAATTTTGTTTGATAATTAAAAGAAACAATAATAACCAACATTGTTTTCTATTACAGTTTCTCGAGTCACTAAAAATCCTTGATCTCAGTCATTCCCATTGCCTTTCCAAAACTCCTAATTTCTTGCAAGTACCCAATCTTGAGCAACTAATACTTGAAAATTGTGCACAGCTGGTAGAGGTTCATGAATCTGTTGGATACCTTCAAAGACTTGTTTTATTAAATTTAAAAGATTGCAAAAATCTAAGGAAGCTTCCAAGAAGCATTGTCATGCTACAATTTTTGGAAACACTTGATATCTCAGGTTGCTCAAATATTAAGGAATTGCCAATAGAGATAAGGACTATGCATTCTTTAACAAAGCTCAATGCAAATGGAACTGCCGTAAGTCAATTACTCTCTACAACTAAGGAGGTCAAACCATGGTATTCATTCATCTGGCCTTTTCCATCGAAGCCAAGAAAAAGTGTAGAAATTTCATGGGCTCTTTTACCATGGTATGTGGTACACTTAAGTCTTGTGGGCTGCAATTTATCAGAGGATGCTTTTCCGAAGGATCTTAGCAACCTATCCTCATTGCAGATATTAAATCTGAGTAATAATCCAATTTGTAGCCTCCCGAATTGCATCAGAGGTCTTATTGGAATTCAGATCCTTGTATTAGATGAGTGTAAAAGGCTTCAATCTCTTATAGTGGAGCAGAATTTGAAAGTATTGTTGTTCTCTGGCTGTACATTGTTGGAGAAAGTAACATTTCAATCACTTCCATCAACCATAGAATTAAATAGCGTTTATGATGCATATATAGTGTCGAATAATTTGGAAGAATTGTACTACTCAAAATGCAGATTGGATTCAGCTCCATCAACCGTGGAATATAATAACATTTGGGAGAATCAATTTGTTGTGAACAAGAACTGGAGACCATTGCTATGTACTGGCAAGTGCGACAATATAGTTGAGTTTATGAGTGACTATAAGTTAGCACCCATAGGGAATATTGACATGGAGATATTGAATAATTTGGGCTTGCCCAACTTAGGATCCATGGGAAGCCCAGCTGTTGCGCTTTCAAGATGCTACTCAAAGAATCCAAGGAAGCTTCCTCTACAGGTCTCTCTCTCTCTCTCTCTCTAAATAAACAAAAATAAAAATAATAAAAAATTGTAATGGTTAAATTATGGTTTCTTTGGTACAGGGATGTCACGAAGAACATATATTTTGCGTTTATCTTCCGGGAAGCAAGATTCCAACTTGGTTTAATCTTAAAAATATAGGATCTTTAATATCTTTTACTGTGCCATCGCATTTCAGAATTCAAGCCTTGAGTGTGTGTTCTATTTATGCACTTTCCAGTAAGTGCTCTATTTATGCTTTTTCCAATAATCCAAAATATCATGACCATAATTGTATGGCACATACTATTATCAATAATACCACCAAGAGTCTGATTTGGAGTCATTCCCCATTAGTTTTTGGCATTCCAGAAGTTGATGAGGATATGATGTGGTTAAGTTATTGGAAGTTTGAAAATCAGTTGGAAAGTGGGGATGAACTGAATATTTCCGTGGTTGGAGAAGAAGGTTTTCAAGTGAAGGAGGTCGGAGTCCACCTTGTGTACAAGGAGCAAGAAGAGAAGAGTAGCCAATCAGCTAGAGAAGAAGCATCCCAATTACAATCCTCTCTCTATGATAATGTCGTTCCTGGAAATGCACCTAGAGTACATCCAGCGAGCAAAAAACTCTTCCGTCTCGGCAAGCATTGGATGAATTGTTCGATTTGTAATAGTCTATAACCTCAACCATTGTGCACTACCTCAGCAATTGGTTGCTTCGGGATTAGTGAGAAATTGGGTATAGGCAATAATTCTTTCTCTTTCTCCTAATAATTCTGTTATGTTGTGTGTTGTTAATGTGTTATATGCTGGATATTCTTCATGATGTTAAGGATTTTGAATAACTACTATGAATTTACATTCTTTTCTCTGCTTTTGTTGGATCTGTTGCTGGGTTATTTATTTTACTTTGGAAATACTGATATGTACTTCGGCAATCAGTGGCAGTTTCAAGCATGGTAGAGGAGGTATTATGCTTTATTTGGTTTGGACATGGATATGCTCACTAGGGAGTCAATTCATTCATTGGAGAAGATAGTTTGCTAATGACTTGCTATTCATCTTGGTTTTGCTCTTATGCTGGTTGGATTTAATTCTTTAGTCTCTTCAAAGAAGACGTTGTTGTTGATTGGCTAGTTTGGAGGGCGCTATGTAATTTGTTATGATGCAGTTTGAAGAGAAATTGTTTCTTATTATTCCATATCTAATCAATGATACAGAGTCTCCTATTTATACACCTTCCTAAACTACCTAAACTATACAACAGATATGTATTTAATATTCTAACTAACCATACGAACTAACATACACATGTGCTAATTACTTATAACAGATTCTCTAACAAACTTCCTAACAACCATTGGGGTTGATAGCAAAGCAGTTGATCTGCATCCTGAGATGATTTGACTAGGAACTGAGCTGGTGTGATCAGATTGAGTTGAATCTGATTTAATATCCTCAACATAGTTGCTATGCTTGTTTGCCTTTTCTTTCCAATTATGTTCATTTTTTGTTTTTGTTTTTGGGTTTTGTGGTTAAAGTGTCTGCTCCCATATGGTTTAGGCTATGTAACAACCTAATTGAGGTGTGCCTTTTTTCATAAAGTTTATCCTTAGCTAATTAGCTGGTGTTTGATAAAACTGAATATTAAATTTTGAAGTTGAACAAATGCTTAATAAAACCGTAAGTGATAAACTCAAATAAGTTGCTAATTATTAGCAAAATAAAATTTAAGACTTATTATTTCAAATTTTATCATCTAATTTTTATATTGAGGTGGTGCTGGTGGACGAGACAGCGATGGCAATGGTTATGGCGATAGTGGTGGAGGTGAGGGATAGTGTTGTGGTGATGGTGGGGTGGTAGGGACTGTAGTAAATTCAGTCACTATTTATAAATATTATATTACTTCAGTTTTTCCAAATTTTAACTATTTTTTTTTTAAAATTTTAATTTACACTATAAGAGTCAATTAAATTTTTAAATAAATAAATGACTTACTTAGCTCACCCAAACAGAATCTTACTTAATAGCACTTCTACCTGAACAGCGATAGAGAAATGCTATGGTGTGCGTTTTTTAGAGGTGTATACCGTAAGCACTCTTTTTAGGTGTATACCATTTTACCATAGAAAAATGTTATAGTGTCCATTTTTTAGAGATGTCATATGCACCCTTTTTAGGTGTATACCATTTTACTATAAGAAAATGCTATGGTATATACCATTTAGGGGTGTACCATTTTACTATAGGGAAGTGCTATGGTGGTTAGTGAAATTTCTTTTTTCTCCATATTAAACGATCATTTGTTAATTGGTTTATGAAAATTGAAACACAGTTTTTAATTTGTTACATAAGTTCAGGTTGAAATTTGCGTCTCTCGAGTTGGGGACTTTACTTTTGTAAAATTTTAAAAATAGTAATACAGCTCAGATGATTATGAAATTTTTCTGGAATGTTTATATATGAGTATATTAAATGTGAAAAAAATTTCAGATCAAAACTCTTATAGATGAATTTTCTAAAATTCATGGATCGAATGATACTTCGGAGTGGGCTGCTGTGCAGAATTCTGTGCAAAAATGGTCCAGTTTTGTATATCTTAAAAATATTTTCCCATGTCAGAAAATTGTAAAAGTTTTATATGTTGTTTCTATATGAGTCCAGTATGTTGGGTAAAAATTTGAGAATTAAAGAATGGGTGTTTATTTTATAAAAATTCACGGATTGAACAGCGTTCTGTTTTGTTTATAACAGAATTTTGGTGTTGAGTTTTGGGTGTTAAGCCCATGATTTGAGGTAAAACTTCTTGGGTTTAGCTTTGTGTATATTTGGGTTGCGTTTGGCTCATGGATAGGAATTTAATTCAAGACCTATGACGTTATAATTCAGATTTATATATGTAAGTCTTACTTAATTGTTTGGTCAATTTTAATTATGTAAGTGGTGAGGATCATCTTGAGTTCATTTAAAATATTTTGTACTCTAGTCTCAATTCAAAATTTATTTTAGATTATTAAACTTAATTCATTTTGGACCAAATTGATTAAATTATATCTCATCCGTAATCACCTGTTATTATTATTATGAGAGAGTTACGAATATTTATAAAGTGTACCATCAAACGAAATATATATATTTTGTAATGAGAAAAATAATATTATTTTATGTTACAAAACATTAAGGGGTTATTACATGCCAGTGGCATGAGAAAAAAAAATACAAATTCGTGGAAAAATTTACAAATTTGATTATTAATATTTAAAAAAAATCATTAATTTGTTATTATTTTTTCAAAATTCTACTAATGCGATATTTTCTTAAATATTGAAGTGTTGTTAAAATAAACTTTTAATTGATATATATATATATATATATATATGTGTATGTATAGATAAATAAATACTTATGCATATATAATATATAAAAATGAATTAATTATCGAGAGGAGCATGCCCACGGGGGGCAGCTCCCCCATTTTTTATTTCCTTTGTTTTGCTTTTTCTTTTCTTCATGTGTTTTTCCTTGAGGTTTAATTAGAATCAATTCCTTATTAATGGTTTTATAAAATTTAGAATCACATCAATCTATTTAAATTATAAAATCAATCCAAACCAAATCATTTAAATATGGTTCGACTCGTTTTAGAACTATAGCTTCACATAATCTGTTCATAAGAAAAATCATATATAACATTTAAAAAAAGAAAAAAAAAATCAACCTATCAAAAATTATTGAACATTAATTTCACTACAAGAAAAATCACCTTTGGCGACTAAATTTTTAGTTGCCAAAGGTCCATTTTTAGTCGCCAAAAGTCGCCTTTTTACCTTCCCCAACTAAATTTTTTAGTCGCCGGTTTTGTCGCGAATAAACGGTCGCAGAAGGTTTTGGCGACTAAAAAGGTTTTAGTCGGCAAAAAGACAGGTCTTTAGCGACCAAAGTTTTGGTCGCCAATACTCAATTGCACTGTTTAAAATTATACATTTGGCGACTAATCTTTTAGTCGCCAATAGTTGATGGAACGCCGACCAAACTGTTTAGTTGCCAAAACAAATACTTTTGGCGACCAATAGTTTAGTCGCCAAAGGTTGTTCGGTGGAAAAAAAAAAAAAAAAAAACTAACTTTTTGCTTTTTTTGAGATTCGAATCACCAACCTTCTACCTTATAAACCTTTAGCAACACAATCCTTCCACTGTATCACTACAACATCAAATGAAAATATATGCAATATATATTATTTATATACTATATTGACCCGTATTAATACAAAACTATATATATAAATATAATTATTTTAATGCAATATAATTTATGTAAAAAATAAATTATTTACTAAAAAAAAATTGAAGCCACTTTTGGCGACTAAATATATTATTTATTCGCCAATAATGTAATTTTGGGCTACTAAAATATTTTTTAGTCGCTAAAAAAATAAGTTCCAGCTGAAAGTAGCATTTTTGGCGACTAAACCTGTTTTTAGTTGCCAAAAACGTCCCCTTTTGGCTACTAAACTGAACTTTAGTCGCCAATTGCCTGTTTTTAGCTACTAAATTTTTTTTAGTAGTCAAAAAGCTTCACTTTCAGCGACCAAACTATTTTTAGTCGCCAAAACACGTAGAATCGGCGACCAAACTATTTTTTAGTCGCCAAAAACCGTCACTTTTGGCTACTAAAAAACCTTTCGTCGCTAAAACCCATACATTTGGGTAATAAATCTGTTTTTAGTCTCCAATAACTATACATTTGGCTACTAAACTCTTTTAGTCACCAAAAGTCTTCACTTTTGGCTACTAATTCCATTTTAGTTGCCAATTGTGCTACTTTCAGCGATGAAAATTTTGTTTTTAGTCGCCAAAACTGCTTTTCCTTGTAGTGTTTGTTAATGATTTTTCAAAACATAATATCTATTAAATAAACATATTATTCAACATGTAGCAAGTATAAAACTCTCATCAAACAAATATGAAAAATCTAAAAACTCTCAAGATATTAATTCGTGATTATGTTTCAACTTAAAATAGTGACTATTTATCCCAATCATACAATCAATGACAAATCAACAAAATGATTTAACGTGGAAAAAATCACAATTGGAGCACCTCCAATTATGATGAAAAAAATCACAGGCTAAAACCATAAAACAATCCACTAAGAAGACAAAAAAAAAATTACACACTAGTACCCTCAATTACCTAGTGAATCCATGCTTGAATTGAACCAAACCCAATGTGTCTCTTCCACCACTATCTTTACCTTAGAATTGTTTTTCCCAACGTTGAATCCACAACACCAATGTCGAATCTACAACAATGAGCCACTCCAGAATCCACTAAAGTTTTAGGCCTAATTTCTCTAGAATCCACCGATGAACACCTTTCTCTTTATGTGAATAAAAGAATGAAAACAAACCTTGATGTTTGACACTATGTAGTTCTTTGATCAATAGATCAACTTCTATACATCAAGGAAACTCATACAAAAACACTCTCCAATATAGAACACTTTATATTTTACTATTTGTTGAGAATCTGGACGGGTTAAACCCAAAAAATATCAAATGGCACACCTTATACTAAACAAAGCCGTGAAAGATCCCTCGAGCGCACACTTTACTGCTCAAGCGGTATGAGTAAAGGCAATGCAAACATATAGGCCAACCGATCGATTTCAACATCCACTGCTCAAGAGATGAAACATATTTCCCAGAAGTTCAATTTGTAGGTAGAGATACTAGATGATTCCCTTCACTGCTTGAGCACACAAAAGACTACTCGATCGGTCAAACCACTTTGACTTTCTTCTTAGCTTCGGGAGCATTGTCCCTCGACCCTGCCTTGTCGCTGCCCAGGACCCGCCAAGGGCCGCTACCCCCTAGACCCCCGCGAGTTTGATCCCTGTACATAGTGAGCGAAGTGGCAAACAAAGAATGCTCAAGATACGAAATATCAGCACAAACTCCTCTACACAAGCACAAGTCGGATTGGATTCGCATCTAAACACTCACAGTCTCATTGAAACATGAGAGAATAAAATTACAATGAGTTTTGTCAAACAAGATTACCAATTACAAAAACCTAACAATCTCCCCCCTTTGGCGATTCCGTGACAAAACACATCGAACAAAGACAAACTTCTTCAAGGTCATGATCTGCAAAACAACTATTAATACCACAAGAGTATATGATAGCATGAAACACATGACAATATGAAAATCTAAAAAGAACATCAT